TCTCAAAGTGCTACAAAAATAAAAAATAAAAATAAAAGATAACAACTCTGTTAAAAGTAATTAAAACCAATGATAAAATCGTGCATTTAGCTACAGATCTGCTACTTTTAGGTAATCTTTTACTACTTTTATGTGGCTTTTTGCTACTTCTAGCTACAGTTCTGTTACCTTTAGATAGCCTTTTGCTACTTTTATCTAGAATTCTACTACTTTTAGTTAACCTTTTACTACATTTAGCTGCAGATCTGCTACCTTTAGGTAAACTTTTACTACTTTTATGTGGCCTTCTGCTAATTTTAGCAACAGTTCTGCTAATTTTAGGTGGCCTTTTGCTACTTTTAGCTACAGTTCTGTTACATTTAGATAGCCTTTTGCTACTTTTTGCTTTATAGTTTTAACTTTTAGCTACAGTTCTGTTATTTTTAGCTAGCCCTTTGCTACCTTTTGATATTTTTACTTAGTAGCCATCCTTTTACAGCTTTTAGCTTCTAGCTAGACTTTTGGAATTTAGTTTTTCCTAATTTTAGCTTTTAGCTAGCTAGCTAGCTTTGTGCTACTTTTAACTTCTAGCTATCCTATCAACACTTTTAGCTAGCCATTCACTACTTTAGTTTTAAACTATCCTTAAGCTACATTTAGCAAATAAGCTTTAGATTCTTAAGCAAATATTATCAAAATCATTTAGTCTAACAATCACACTATGATGCTAAATGTATAAAATACAAAGTAAAATGCCTCCATCTGCATGTGCTGTACCTCCATCAGCATGATGAGACCCATGAGGAAGGAGAAAAGGACCACGGCTAACAGGAAGAGCTCTCTGCGGTTCTTCCGTCGAAACACAGTGGGATACATGTCCACTATGGCCGTCACAAGGCTCTCGACGCAGACAAACTGAGGGGAGAGGCAAACAAACTAAATATTTCCTTTAAGGAATACATTGGTTGATATTAGCACACCTACCTGACTGTCCAGCCCCAGAAAAACAATCATAATGAAGAAGAGTGCGGCCCACAGGGGAGAGAAGGGCATCATAGACACAGCACGTGGGTAGGCGATGAAGGCCAGACCAGGGCCTGTGAGAAAGAAAAACCTAAACTGAAGCCCGGACCAAAAGGTGAGCTAAGATATGTCGATCATCTAGAACAGTGGTTCCCAAACTTTTTATCTTCTGACCCACAAAATATCCATGGCAAAAACTTGTGACCCCAAATATTACAGGTCTGAGTACACGAACTTTGTTAATAACCCTAAAAACACAGGCTTTTTGACAATCTAAACAGCTTGTACACAAATATAAATACTTATTTATACGTTTTTGTGTGTTTTTTGTAATATTTTTAGGGAAAATATTACATC